TAAGGTAATGTGATAAGCTTTAATGATTTGGGGCTGTACATCTTTGGTCAATCTCAAGCCATATTAGTTCTCTCAGTGAGGCTTTTCTTTTCTAAAAATAAAGGTACCAGACACTAGAATTACACAATAGAGGTCATTCAGCAATGCTTCAATTCCATATTTCTTTATCACACCATAAATAAGAAAAAAAAAAAAAAGGCTTTTTGTTCTACAGAGATATGGAAAAAGGCTTTTACTTGAAAGTATTTCATCCCACCAGTTTTTTTAAAGTGATGCCAGGCATTTCTTCAGTTTGATGGAGGCAGCCAGTTGTGCCAATCCAGATTTTTGGCCAGGGGGGTTTGTCCAATTACAGTCATTGGTCATCAAATATCTCATGCATGTAAAGTACCACAGACCTCAGCTGGGAACTTGGGGTGTTTGGGGTAAGAAATATTTAATGTTTGTCACTTTTAGATAAGTTCATGTGAGAAAGGGATGGGATGGAGAGAGGAACAAGGGAAGGCCTTTGGATGAACTGCTCATCCTCTGGATAAATGCCAGAGTGGAATGTGACCTCGGCATTCTGCCCCAGAAGAGGCTGCCTGTTCAAGATTAGGTACTGATTAAAATGCAGAAAATGCATTAATTAAAATACAGTCCTGAGTGAGACACAACACTGGAGCCCGTGCACCAGGGTGGGGTCCCTGTGCCCAGGGTGTGGTTCCTGCAGCACAGGGGCACCCTTGGCTTTTCTCCTTCTGGTGTCGATTTTATCAATTTTCCATCATCGTGATGGGCAGGGACTGGACTGGATTGTTTTGTCATTTTGCTGGAGAATTTTCCCTTTGTTGGGAATTTCAGAATTTTACTCATTCAGAGAGAAGGGGTTTGCTTTCTCCATTTCAAGGAAAGGCCCTGCTTTGCTTTCCCTAGCAGAGCCCTGTCTTTCAAACCAAAACTCCCTTCTAGTTGATTATTATCCAAAGGAGTTTGTGAAAGCAGCAAGAATATTTTATATCAATGCACAGACACTCCTCCTGTCAATTGGTTTTTCAGAATCCTTGAAGTTCTGTTCAGGGAGCAAGCATCTCTTCCCACTGAAACTTTATTTTATAATTCTATTGTGAGAAATGGCCCTGCTGGTCCTTCTAGTGGGTCTTGTTTCCCATATTCTCAGTTGGCTTTATGTGAGGTTGTTTTGTTTTGTTTTGGTGTTGATTTTCTGGGTTTTTTTTGTTTGTTTGTTGATTTTTTTGTTTTTTTTGGTTGGTTGGTTGGGTTTTTTTTACTTTTGTGTGGTTTTTTATTTGGTTGGGTTTTTTGTTTTTTGTTTGTTTTTTGCTGGTTTTGGTTTTGTTGGGTTTTTTTAATTTACATTGCAAAATGTTCCCTTTGTGAACAGCCAGGTTCAGCATCCAGGGGTTGCAGGGTTTACCTTGTGGGAGAGGCTCTGATATCCAAAGACCTTAAACAGAGCAGGAGAAATCGAATTCCTAGATCATATTTTGTATGTTGACAAGGGAGGACTGGCCTAAAGCCCCAGAACGTATTCACAAAAGATACTGAGAAATTTAAGAACCTTTTAAAAGCGTTCTCAGTCATGCCACACGTAAAACGAATCAATAAATAATGTAAATATTAAAATATCAGTTGTGTGTTCACCCAGAATCCTTTAGGAACAGCAGTAAGAGAAATGACAAATGTTGCAGTCATTACATTAAGGGGAAGTTGGCCCACAGCCCAACCCAGCAATGTTAAACATCATATTTCTTCCAGTAAAGTAATTTCTGATTGCAGGATCTATTTTCAGCTCAAGTAGCTCAATGTGGGAGACTTGCACTAGCTCAGAAAGGGCTGTGTTTTCATGGTGTGATTCTCTCCCTTGATGCAGTTGGACATCAGAAATCAAATATGAATTTTGAACGAAATGCATCATATTTATAGAGGTAGTTTTGGACTTGGAATATGTTAGCCCAGGAACAAATTTGGGGTTTAGACATTCTTGAGATGCTAAAATGCTTTCAAATCAGGATTTTCATTGGCCCTCTAGCCACATGCACATCGAGATGTGAACATTGATAATTTTCTCTATCTCTCTCTCTTTCCTATGGGCTTCAACAAATTGAATTTCATTATTCTAATTGTATTAATTTATTTAACACTTCGTGTCTATTTTAAATACCACTGATAAAAAATAAGATAAAAGACAAATGAATGAACGAGTGAAAGAAGGTTCTGGGAAAACCTGAACTCTGAGGAATCAATAATAGACACAGATTTGTAGTTCTTTGGGATCTACAGCACAAAACTGCAATAATATAACTATTTAATATAACCCTCTGAACGTGCACTCACATCTTACATCACACAGAAAAATGTGGAGGGAAATAATTTTTATTGTGGACCTTCATCATTTCCAGTAGTACTTTGCTGAATTGAATAATTTTTTTTTTTTTAAAAAAAACCACCTTAGTGGCCTGGACTGCTTGGAGGTGAAAAACAACCAAGGGAGATTCAAAGTCAGCTGCCATGGGAGCTTTTCCAAACATAAAAGTGGGAAGGCCACCTGAGCATTTATTGTGACTTAAACTTCCAGCTGTAGCCTATAATCTGTATATAAACCTATGACAACTTGTTTTTCTTTCTGCAGTGATGGAAGGCAGGCACTTTTCTGGGAGGATGAGGAGAACTCCCAGGGAAGCTCATCTGTCTCATTTATGAATCCATCAGGAAGCAATGGGTTGACTCAGCCCATGTTTGAGGTTTTAGCAAGAAATAAACATCCTGAGATTTATTTCTGCATTTGAACTGACCAAGAACACCGAGTTTATTGAAATTTATTTTGAATGAAGGGTTAACACGCTGTGTATTGCCTTGGAATAGAGCCCTCTAATCTGTTTACGTGGCTGTGTGTACACAGTTGTGATGATGAGGAAATGCTAAATGCAGTCGGTTTTTCTGTGTGAGGATGAATTTATCAGCCCTTGCTGGAGCTGTTGAATGATAGGATTGTTAGGAGAAACCTTTCTAATCTGTTTTCTTCTGCAGTAGCATGCCATAGCCACCAAACCATGCTGGTGATCAGGAAAAAAAAAAAGGCAAGCCATGTTTTCAGATTGTGCACCAAGGCTGAACACAGAGTAACTGTGCAGGAAACAAGGCAATCATTTCTATTCCCTTTTAACTTGAGTCAAAACATCTCTTCAGAATGGTTTGTATGTAATGATAGCATCGGATCTTGGAGTTTTCTTGTTGTTGTTGGATTGTGGAGGTGTAGGGTTTTCTCTTAAATTCCCTTCTTGCCCAGTAGGGAAGTCGATATTTAACCCACCCTCTTTGAGAACAACTTTTAAATATTTCACTGCCAACAGACAACTTGTTTCCAGATTCACTTTCAGGATGGAGTCAAGGAATTAAAGCAACGAGGGTTTAAAAAGAAAAGCAAAGAGAGCCAGAAGAAAGCACTTGTTCAGATTTCTCTTTCAGAAATTCTTGCTGTCAGACCTGTCTCTGTCCCAGCCAGTCAGTGACACCAGAGCAATAGAGATTTCCACACTGAAAAAGGGAGAGGTGAAATAAAAGAAATCAACATGGGAAAACACTGAAAATGTGAATAATGTGAAATATTGTCTTGCATGATGAGCTGTTTTGGGTGGAATTTCTCAGGTAATTGCTCTCTTTTGCAGGGACAGAGCTCCCTTCATCTTCACATCAGAGATGGAATATTTCATAACAGAGGGTGGGAAAAACCCCCAGCGTTTCCAGGAGTTTGTGGAGCTTTGTTGTCGAGCTTATAACATAGTCAGGAAACACAGCCAGCTCCTCCTGAACCTGCTGGAGATGGTAAGGAGCTCGAGGGTGAAACCAAAAATCAGTTTTCTCTGGGGTTCTGTTCCCTTTTTTGCTGCACCATGATCTCAACAGGTCTCAGGTGCAGAGCTGAAAATGTTGGTGCTGCTCTTCCTGTCCACTCAGAACCAATTTCTGAGAAAAGGAAAGCCAAGCTGCTTGGTGGTTTTCCATTTCATAATACTTTTTTTTTTTTTTTTTTTAACAAAACAGCAGAAAACTGCGAAAGAAGCTGAGTACAAGTTTTGCATTCAGGAATTTCAGTCAGCCCTATTTCTAGGTGTTCATTTACCCTTCTGTTCACATTTACAGGACAAATTAAGCTGAATATTTCACAGGGTGGGTGATCTGGCAGTTCCTGAGCAGCCCTGCTCTGCACTGGTGCCTTTAGGAGGGGCTGGCACATTTCCACTGTCATTTCTTGGGATGGCAAACACAGAAAAGAAAGAGCAGTGCCCATACTGACACAGGGTTTTTTAGTTCTTTTGTGTAGATTTTTAAGGCCTCTAGGAGTTTTTATTCTTAAGTATTCCTACTGATTCATGTGCAAATCCCATGTCTGATTTATGCCTCTATTTACTTGTGGGGGAAAGGTTAATGATTTTCCCCCTGCATGGATACAACGAGAATATGACATTAATTAATATTTACTGAGATGCTTGGCTAAGATATCAATCCAAAATTCGTATGCAGGGCCCCATGACCTGTAAGGGAGTGATGTGTGCATGAAAAAAAAAAAAAATCGAGGTGGCCTTTTATAAACAGAGCTGCTCAGTGAACACAATGCTTTATCATCTCCAGCTTGTGCACTGGGGGAAGGTGACAGAAATGAAAGAATTCCTCTCCCTTGCCTCTTCCAGCTGGTCCATGCATGGATTAATGCAGGAGTTCAGGGAGAGATTCCCTGACATGCAGCAGGAAGGGTTGCTCCAGATTTCTTGAACTTGCTGCTTCGTGGCCACCAAGGTGCAGCAAAACTGCATTTCCATCAAAAAGCACAAATTTCCTCTGGAAGCAGTGCAGAGTGAAGTATTGTGGGGGTTTGGATTTTTTTTTTTTTTTTTTTTTTTTTTTTTTTTTTTTTTTTTTTTTTTTTTTTTGCTAGAGTTGGGTTTAAATGTTTGAGAGACGGTATTTTTCATTTGCATTTAGATGTTTATTAATTCTTATCTATATTACAGTGAGTTTTATAGTACTTTTAGTTAATAAGCTAAAAATTGAGCCATATTGCATTCTTCACAAAGCCTTTTAAGGCCAAATTGTCCAATTAAGAGCACTTAAATTATTTCTACTTTGAACTTAATAACTAACCATTTTTGACCCACAATGCAGAAATTTCTATTTAATTACAAAAGTCCACCCAGACTCATGAAGAAGAAGGTGAAGAAGAAAGGCAAAACCTCCACCCCAAAACCTTCATCTTGCTTTTTTTTGCTATGCTCTAAACCCTTAAATTCCAAGTTTTCTACCATGTGATGTTACACACTTCTATCCAAATTAAACACCCGTGATCCTAGTTCCCTTACCCAATTCTGGAAGCTTTCTCCACTGCCTCAGGTCAAAAGCTGTTTGTTTTGTTTTTTATTTTTATTTATAGAGTTTATATCAGAGTTGAGATTAAAAACACAAAGGAGAGTAATTTTTTGTCTTTCCTAAGCCTGGCCAAACTCAGTTTGTCTGTAGTCAGGACATGCTGCATCTCTGGTGTAAAAGGGTTAACTCTACTATTTAATTAGTGGGGTTTTTTGTTTTGGTTTGGTTTTTATTTAGAGTTTAGATTAGAGTTAGGATTAAAAACACAAAGGAAAGTAATTTTTTTTCTTTCCTAAGCCTGGCCAAACTCAGTTTGTCTGTAGTCAGGACATGCTGCATCTCTGGTTTCTGCTGATCTTGTAGCAGAGCTAATAGAGCTGAGCTCCAAGTCAGCATCCAGACATGTCTCAATATTTGTCAGTGGCTGCAGCTCAGTCCGTGGTGTTGCACTTCAAAATTGAAAAATAACTGGCAGCACACTCACAGCCCACAGACAAAAGGAATTAAACAAACAAGACCAGTTTGGGGGAAAAAAAGGTAGACTGTGAAGTTCCACTTGGAATTCATTTCCATACAGAATTTCAGATGTCATCATGGAGAGGTAAGATTAACTAATCCCTGCTTGTTTGTATCAGTGAAAGTCTAAAGATTTCTCTCACTGTTTGGAAACCTGCATCATTAATCTTTAATTCTACTCCCACATTCTGTGATTCTGTGATTCTGTTTGTAAAACATAGTTAAAAAATAAGAAAAAGGGGGAAAAAAAGACTTTCTGAAAAAAAAAGAACACTTTGCAGAATATGACACTGAATGCACAGAATATTCACAGAATAGTAAATTGTGCCCTGGGTGATCAGTGACAATTAGTGGTTTCTACAAAACAGGATTATGAACAAATTGAAGGAGTTTTGGCCCAGTTTGGGAATTAATGTTATTTCTTGGTGGTGAGCAACATCTCTCTAAAACTGTCCTGACATTTGCTACTGGGAATAAGAAATAATCCATGAAGTTTCCAAAATTTTCAAAAGCAGAAACGTGTGGGAGCCCCACGAGTCTGCTGTGAATTCAGAGTTCAGCAGAGTTCAGCTGCCTGCAGTTCATCAGCTCTGCCCTCACTGAAAATTCCATGTGAACTCTCATAAAGGGGGTGATGGGCAGGACACAGACACCTTCTGACTGCTTCAAAGAAATGCAAACTCCACTGTAATAAATTTTATTTTTTTTCATATAGAAAGTTATTAAAGGAGATATAAAGTTATCACTCCCTGCTCTGGTGAAGGGCAAGGTAAATATTTATTTGTAACAACCCCTTTTTTTCCCCCCTTTTTTCTGTTTTTGTTGTTGTTTCTTTGTTTGTTTTTGTTGGTTTTTTGGTTTTTGGGTTTTTTTAAATCCAAAGGGAGGAGGAGTTGTTATCATCTTTTCTAAATGGGTTGAAGGTATATTGATAAATAGCACTGTGTGTCCTTCAGTGCTGAATATTGTTATTATCCCTGCTGTCAACCCCCTTTAATTCACCTCTTTGAGCTTTCTGCTTCTCTGTTCCTTGCCAGCCAAAATTCCATCAGGACAGCAACCTGACTGTCCAGTGGCAGCTGGGAATGGGGCTGAGGAAGATTTTCTTCATAATGCCAAAACTCAGTGTACAAATGCTGAGAATGTTTGAAGGAATAATCCTAAAATAAAATCAGTGCTTCCTTTTTTCTTTGCTGTTGCTTGAAAAACTCAGTGGGTCTTTCTGTCTGAGCTAGACATAAATATCAGTGGAGAATACCCAGCAGTGACTGCAAATTCCCATACATTTCCATCTGCAGGAGTGATGGTTTTTTCTACATTACACACACAAAAAAAAAAAAGCATCACTCCTAACTTGCTGCGATTGCTGAGCAAAATCAGTAGGTTTAGAAGTGAGGAAATGTTGTTGTTGCCATTTGAAAATGCCTGGAGAGAGCTGCATGGGCAATTGGACACACGGAGCTGCTTCACCTCCTCGAGTGTTGACTTTGCAAGGGGAATATTGGCCCCATTCGGGGTTTGAATTTCTTCTGGCTGCCCAGCTGGAGCAGCTCTGTCCCTGCAGCTCTCAGCCCCACCCCGGGGCTCCTGCATCCATCAGGGTCTGAAGGAATTTTTCTCCTCCTCGGAGGGAACCTGTGCTCCCTTTGCAGGAGGAGCCAGGAGTTACAGATGAGAGGCTGATGTTGGGTTCAATTGAATTAGGGCTAGGACAGCACTGGGAGCAAAACAGAAATGTGGTTCCTACTGCTCAGGTGGCTGAATTTGGTCACCTTCCCTTCATCACCATTAGAAGGATCTGAAGGAGGCTTAGCAATGCACACTTTGAGGTTATGGCATCTCTGAAGAGAAAATAAATAACTAAAATGGGTCGTTGATTCTGACCCATGCCTCTTCCAGGTGCCTCAGTGTGAAAGTTTACAATGCAATATATTCATTTTATTATTCCAGGCATTGCTCTAGCATCAGAGCCACTTTTCAGATCAGCAAAACTGTTTTACAAGATGTTTCGGTGTAAAAACCTTTCTTCTTTCACTTAGGCCTATTTAATTGAAATTTCTTTTCAGTAGAACAGTGGACTAATGATCTAATGTTGCTTTCCATGTAGATGCTGCATGCAGGATTGCCTGAGCTGAGCAGCCTCCAGGATCTGAAATATGTGTATGATAACCTCCGTCCTCAGGACTCAGAGCTGCAGGCTACAAGCTACTTTACAAGGTAAAACCAGAATAATAATCTAGAAACCTTGTCCTCTTCAGGCATGAAGCAATTTTTTTCTCTCAGGTTAAGAAGCTTAATCAGGGAAATTACACAAAAAGATAATTTGTCTTCACATGTTTACTTCTAAGAAGTCTTTCTTTATGCATGTTATAACCAATTTCCTCAAATTTCTGGAAGAAGCAGTTGTGCATTTGTGGCACACTCATAACAAGTCAGTGGCTGGAGATTTCTTAGCCTTTCATGGTGAAAGCACCCTGATTTTTATTTAATGTTTTCTCTCTGCTTTTAAATGCAGCAGCTCCATGCAAACAGATTTGGACTGCTTAAAGATGTTCAAGCTGTTAATAGTCTGAGTGAGAGCCTTCAATTTCTGCATTTTACTCCTTTTTCTCTTCCTCTTTTGACCTTCTAGCCATCGTTTCTCCATCTGCAAACAGTCTGGCTCTTGCTTTTCAACAATTACCAGATCAGTCACAGAAAAGCCTTGTGTGTGAATACAGGTACATTTACAGCTTCATTTGTGTCAGGATAATGAAACCTTTCACCTGTTCGTGGTAATTGCTGGGGATTAATGAGGAGGAGCTGCAGCTGATGTGCACAAAGTCACTGCAAGCCCCCCAGTGCTGATGTTTCAGATATCATTCCAGCTGTTGGTGTGATGATGTGGGATGTGGATGGAATGAGTGGAGCCTTATGTGGAACTGGAGCCCCACTCTGCAATTCCAGGCACAGCAGGAGGCAAAAATCTCCCTGCCAGAGCGTGCCCTGAGCAGCAGCATCCTTTCCCAAGGACTCTGAATTTGTACTCCCTGGGCACCCTCTGCACATGAAAAACAACTCAGACTTCTCTGACCTCATGAAAGTTTTGGGAAATTAGAAGTGTGCTGTTTCTGTGTCTCATTTCCATGTACTAAAATCTGCCACAGTCTGAGGAAACCAAGGCAGCAAATTTGGAGAATGCTGGGGCAGAGACCCAGAGACTTAAAGGGTGACCTTTGAAAAAAAAAAAAAAAAAAAGAGAGAAGAACTTGTCAAACCAAACTATCAAACTATTGTTCCATGACTTTACACACAGCACAGCACTGAGTTCCTTTTCCTGTAACACTTGGGTTTTTTTTTAATATGCTTTCACTCCTGCCCCTTAGCAAAATCATTATATTTTAAAATTTTACAGCTTCACATTTACCATCAACTCCTACCTTATCCTTTCCTTTAAAATTTCACATATTCCCAAATTGCAGACTTATATTTTCACTTCAAAAAGTTTCTAGTTAAACTGCAAAAGTCTTGATTCTGTCAAATAGTTCAGGTGGTTGTGTCTGTCTCTCCTGGGTGAAACACCCAATTTATTGAGTTAGTGAAAATGGGCTGGGACATAGAAAACAAGCAGGAAAATCTGAGTCTTCAGAGTGCAAATTGCATGCTTTGGAAGAGCTGCTGTGCTCGGTGGCCTGGTAGAGGTTTGTGTTAGGCTTAGGAAATGCAGCTCACAGAGACTAAAGGCAGGACTCAGGGGCCACATTGGCCTTTCTTGTTAGGGATGGTGTGAAGGAAATGAAGGAAATTCCACTCAGTTCCTGCACACCTACAAAGTATCTCTGCTGTGGGCTCTGCTCTTAACTTGAAAGTGCATTTTCTCCTAAAATGCATTCTGTGAACTTCAGAGCTATTGTTCCAATTTCCTTCAAAATGCTGAAGCTTTGTTTTTTTCCATCATTACATCACATAGAAAAGAGAGATATTGCTAGAGTGCATATTTTATTAATTAATATTCTTAGGATATGTTTGTATTATATATGCTCATTTTCAAGAAGAAAATCCCTTTACATTCGTTCATGAATTTCCATGGATCTCATTTCTCTTGATGCTTCTTTTCTACTTCATTCTAATTTCTATTCATTTGAACATTATTTCTGTTAACTCAAAAAAAAAATGCTTTAACATTTCAACATGTTTGAACATGGGGGTAATATCAGGCCTCATGTCTAGTAGGATTTTAACTTCTGGAAATTGTATGCAGGCACTTTTCAAAATAAAGACTTTGGGATGGCCTGATCCATGCAGAGACTGCCTGTAAAAACACTTTCCAACCTGGCTTTAGGAATGGAAATATATTAAGATTTTTGTGAGCTTTGTGTTGCCTACATCATCTTTATTCCTTATCCCCTTGTTATAAAAAATAATGATATGACAAAAAAATCCAGTTACAGACTTCATGGTCAATCTCTGGCTTATTCCTGTATCTGTTTTTCAAGAAGGACAAGGAAATTGGAAGTTCTGATTATTAGCACAACTTCTAGTAGTTCTCAAATCCCTCACAATTTGTAGCTCGTTTTTCTCTATATTTTTTTCCAAAAACACTTCATTGTTTTTTAAAAGCTCTTTTCTAGGCAAGGAGTGTGGTCATTGGAATGTTAAACTCTGCCAACAGAAAGTTGTTTCTTGTTCTAAGTACAAGGTGGTTATTGTAATCTTTCCGATTCAATCATATAATGTGTCTGCTGAAAATCCCAATCTTCTGCAGTGAGAACAGAACAATATTCCTCTGTATTTCTCTAGGAATGGGTTGCTTTTAGCAATTTTCTGAGTTGGTTTTAGCAATAAGGCTGACATTGGCCCTGGTGTTGTTTAGAAACACCACGAGATGCTGAATGATGTCAGGATGCTCCTGGCAGGAGATGTTAATTTGTTCTTTGCCATCCCCTCTTTGGGCCAGCAGAACAATTGTGCTGGGCTTTGGGCTGGGGGAGCCCTGACCCCTTGCAGGCTCACAGAGCATTCTGTGTTTTGCTGAATTGCTGGGGTCTCCTTTGGCTGTAAGGCACGTGCAGCAGGCTGTGGTGTCACTTGTGTCACTCGTGTGTCCCCCCGGCTCAGCCCCTCACATGGAGCATCCACAGTGCCCCAGCCCAGGGGCAAACAAGAGTTCCTGTGTCTGCTCCTCAGCCCCCTGCACCTCCTCCTGCCAAATGAAACATCCTTGTCTCCCCAGCAGCTGCCCTGAACTCTGTTTGATCCCTGAAACTCAATTTGATCCCCACCCTGTGGTCACTGCACTGCAGAGAGAGAGAAAGGACAGCAGCACACACGGAGCTCTTTGGGGAAAAAAGGCCAATTTATTGTACAGCCAGCCCGGATTTAAAGTGTGTCAGTGCAGCCAGGACAGGACAGGAGCTCACGGGACAATTGGGAAAAACATCCTTGGGACAGCACCTCAGGATGTGTCCCACGGCAAAGACACCAGGGGTTAATGTTGGTGATGAATTCCACTCTGTTTGTCACCGTGTTGTCACCCTGGGAGACTCCTCCCTAACTGAAGCTGCAGTCAGCTTGTCAGCCTGGGAATGGAGCTGAGAGTCAGGAGAAATCCAGGCCTGGAGAGAATTCCCAAGCTGTGATTCCCCAGCTCTGTAAATGTGTGTGTCCACACCACCCCTCCCTCCTTCCCTCTTCCCCAGCACGGTTTTATCAGAAACTGGAAACCCATCTTTCCTCTGCATATCAATTTCCTCTATGGTTTTCTGCAGATGTCTTCAAATGTCAGCATGGTGTGGCAGGCTGCCTGACATTTTGAAGGTGCCTGCACAGGGATGTATATTTAAAATTGGTTTTAAGTTAGCCTAATGCAATGAATGGAGTTGATTTCAATTGATTGCAGTGTGCAATCTGACCCACTCATGGAAAGCCATGAATAAGAGATGCAGGCTGGATCTGCCAATTGCACATTGCACATCCTCAGCAGCCTGGCACAGGGTGCTTTGTTTATTTATTAATGAACTCATTTTTTAGGTACCTGTCATTGCCCAGGTCAAACCTATCCACTCCAAACCACAAATGCCAGCAGGATAATCCACAAAAATTCCTTTAAAAACTGCTGAGCTCAAACTGATCAGCCAATCTCTTTTTTTTTAGATGGCTGAGGGTATTTCAGCAAGAAATTTCCCAAACAGGTGAAACACAGTGAAAGCTGGTGGCATCTGACAGGGAATGAACCAAACTACAACATTAAATTTGATTTCAGTGATATTCAAGTCGTTTGTAAAGATTGTGGTGTATCTGTGAACAGGAGGCAGACTTCCTCCTTGAATTCCTGTTTTTTTGAGGAATTCATATTATAAAAGGTCTGTTGCTAAAAGCAGTAATAGTCTGGAAAACTCTATTAATATGGGGGCATACTATTCAACTTATCTGAAAATGGGGCTTGGTAAATTCATGGATGGAAATGTGGAATATAAATGAAACACTGCTCATTAACATCTGAGAATCCCATGAAAATAAATTTTGCCCATTATACTCTAAGTGATTTTCAGGCCTAGATGGAAATGAGAAGCAGGATACCATGGAGAAAGATAAATATCTACCAAGATTAAAATCTTAATAACTAGTCCATAATAATGGTTGTATGTGCTGTGTATAAAGGCTGGTGTGTCCTTAAAAATCTAAGCACTCAGAATAAGGAATTCCCACAAGGAATGGCTGTTTCCTAAAACTAAAGTGGCAAAAACTACCCCTAGTCATTCCTGAAAACATTAATCAAAACTTTTCACCCATCTCCTTTTTCACAAGCAGCCAGGCAGTCTGTTCATGTTTTACCTGATACTGTAATTTGACAGCTCTGTAGAAAGACCAAAGCCAAATCTGAAATTCAAAGTCAATTCAGCAGGTGGAAAGCAGAAAGTCATTACTTTCCAATAATGCCAGATATTTAACTTTCTTTTTCTGACAACTAGGTCAGGCACCAATCTGCATGGTAAACAGTTATTGTCATGTGGAAAATAGCATTTTTCTCTCTGAAAACTGTGTTGGCACCATTTGGATTCACTGCTAATATTACTCTAGTTAATGACACTTTCCTGTTTTATTCTGATTAACCTGAGCTTTGAGTGCTTTTGTACTGTTCACTTAGTTTAGCTATCTCTAGACCATCAGGAACTCATTTTCTGTGCAGCCTGGGCTTCCAGAGCTCTGAAATAAATAAGGA